GGTGGCGTCGTCTGGAACAGCATGGCTGTCGGCGCTTTTCAATGGCCGCGCGGAGGGACATGCGGCCAGCGGGTCTTGCGAAGGACTGCAGGAGTTCTCATCGACAGGAGTGGCGTATTTGCCGTGCTGGCAACAGAAACCATGTACTTCGTGGCTCCAGAGCGTCGCTTTGCAAAGCTTGCATGCAGCGGTTTGGGCGCCCAGCGCGACGTCTGGAAGTGATCGCCGAGGAGCGCCAGAAGCGCAGTCCAACGCGCGGGCGTTCAGATCGTCTCTGTTGCCAGCGCGGTCGCCAGCTCCGCGCATGGCGCGCCGCCGCTGTTTGCGCGGGCCTGGCGCGCCCTGGCCTTGCCGTTGAGGCGGCGGATTCTGGCGATCGCGGCCTCGGACTTGAAGACGCCGAAAGAGCGACAGCGGCGGCGCCTGGGGGGAAATCGCGCTGGGCGGCGGCGCTCTGATCAAGCGGGGCACGGAGCTGATCAGCGTGGGTCCTGCCAAGATGCGCCAGAGGCCCGAGTCGTTCTCTAGCCCCAATGCCAAGACGACATGTGCTATCGTGGTCGACCACGTCGGGCATCCGCAAAGCGATGTCGACTGCTATGCCGCGGTGAAGCCCTGCGTCGCGGGTGGCGAACCAAGCCTCCATTGCGTCGGCCAGTTTGACCATCGTCTGGCGCTGCTCGCCCGATCGCATCTTAGCCCAGACGTGGGCCGCCAGCGATGCGCAGTAGCCGTCCGTGAAGGAGTGGCCCCCTCTTCCGACGCCCTTGCCCCGCGCGTGCTGGTTGGCGTCCGCGCGCATGATGCCGCAACCCTGGGCGCCGCTGTTGCAACGTTCGCGAACAAATCGCGGGGCCGCCGGCGTCGACGCATTGGGCCGGCGAGTCGCCATGGGAACAGGAATGCCGAAACAACGCGTCGACGATCACCTGCTGCCAGACGCCCCCCAAGGAGCCGCTGAGGGGGGCCGCCCGCTGAGTATCCAGATCGTCTTCTCCAAAGATGTTGGCGAAAACGCCGACTTGTAATGTAATGTCCGATGTGGGCCCATCCTCCTTGCGACGTTTGCGCGCGGGTATCGCGAGTCGCGCGTCCGCGAAATCCCAGGAAGACAGCTGCCCGAGGAACATTGCTGAGCAACAGGCGCTGCCGAGAGGCAGACTCCTCGCCCGCGGACAGCGCAGCTGCAAAGCCTGAGCGAACAAGGCTACGCGGTAGGACGGGGGTGGGGGAGGTGCGCTCAGAGGAGGCGGGGTAGAGGAGCTGGCGAATAAGTGGCGGCCAAGGATTCCACGAGCCAACTGGGCGGAGATGGTTCAGCAAGTTAGTGTTTCCAACGCCCTTGTTCTCTTTCGGGGAAGGGTGTGCCTCTTCCCTAGCATCGATTGCGGGAGAGGGGTGTGGGCCCCTTTTGCAACCTCATCTCCTTCTTTCTGCTTATCGTGTTTCTCTCCTTGTCCCTCGACCGTTTCCTCCTCATGCTCCTTTCCCTTCTCCTCCTTCCCGTCCTCGTGCCTCCATCGTTTTGCTCCTGGCGGCTGCCCCCATCTCTGCTAGACTGGATGATAGAACAATTCTGTGATGAATACCATTCGCCTGGGTATTTTCTGTGGATGTGCTGGTGGGGGTGCGCGACGCGTCATTGGAAACGCAAGGTCCGACGGAACTGTTGGAATCAACGCGGAAGGGCAGCCGCTGAACGAACCAGTTGGAGGCAGCCTGAGAGCCTCCTGCAAAATTTGACGGGGAGCCGGCGAACGGTCAGAGTGAAGTCGCAAAGACAGCCATAAGACCAGCCAGTATACTGCCTGGGATTTTGGGCAGCTTTTGCTTGGCCTTTGGGACCCTTTTGGGACCTCCTTGGAGGGCTCAGGAAACCCTTTGAATCTCCTTCTTTGGGGGCCGTCTAAAGGGGGTCGTTTGGGCCGTCATGGGTGGGACCCTTGTGAGCCGTCTTGGGGCTCTCTTGGTGTTGGTGGGCTTGGGCCGTCTTTGGGCTCTCTTGGGGCCGTCTTGGGCCCGCCGGGGGGCCTCCTGTGGCCCCTCTGTCTCTTAGGAGTTCTTTGGGGCACTCAGGGGACTCTGTTGGGCCCTCTCGGTGCTTTCTTGGGTAGTCTTTGAGGCGTCTTGGGCAGTCTTGGGGCCCATATGGGGCCCTCTTGGATTGTTTCGGGGCGATGCTGAGGGCCTTCTGGGTCGTCTGAAACGCTGTTCCAACCAAGGCAGCGGGTATGCTTAAAGTGTGCGTTTTCCCAAAAAGGATTCGATGACTGTTGTTTTTCGGGGGTCTTCTCGGGGTTTCTTGGGGCGTCTTGAAAACCTTGGTTGTCTGTCTGGGACCATCGCGGGCCCTCAAGAACGCTCTAGGGTCGTCTCCGGGGGCTCTTGAACCGTGCTAGAACGCCTAATCGGGCCGTCTTAAGCAAGATGGGGGCCATGGGAATCATTGGGCTCAATCGTGGGCCAGCGTTGGACGCGCCAAATGTCCGCGAACGGGCCGAACATCGTTAGGTGTGGGCGGTGTGGAGATCATCTCCGTGGGTATTATTATAGGACATGGGATGTCCGTATCTACATGTGTATATGTATATGTGTACTTATAACATATTTGTCAATACCCATGAACACATGCATGCGTTTTAAGTATGCTCCACCAAGTCATACATACGAATACAATGGAGGGCGACTTTCTGAAAAACGTGTGCGCAGGATCGAACAACTTGGCATTGAGAACACCGAAGTTTTTTCGATTGTTGTTCGATGAGGCTCGCTGTAGCCAGCTCAGCAACCACCCAACAAATGGCGGCCACGGGCTAAACATTTGCACTGCACGGGCACGCAGGGCTGAAGACGCGTGTAAATTTCGAGGCGTTGAAGATCGCCAAACTAATTGTGGGTCAGACGAAGCGACTAGGAGGTCAGATATCTACGAGGCATGAGTGTACGAAAACAAATATTAAGGGACGACGGGGGCCGACTGGCTCGAGTGGGACCCGCAGGGCTCGCAGGGGCCCAGGGGCTCACAAGCAGAGCGGGGACCGCAGGATTTAGAATGGTGGGCGACTCTGGGGGCTCGTAGGACAAAACATGGCTCCATGGGGCTCATCAGTCCTCGTTGGGGTCCAACGGCTTGAGCGATGTAGGGCTCACAAGGCACGTAGGACTCATGGAAATCTGTGGGCTTGGGCGACCGTGCGGCTCGTTTGTACGTTCGGCTCTTTGGTACAATGGGGCTGGCAGGGTTCATTCGGCTCATGACGTTTCGAGGCCATGCGGGGCTCGTCGGGGCCGCGAGGCTCCTGGGGTTTGCAAGCCTGGTAAGGCTCACGTCTCGCCGTGCCTGAAAGGAAAACGGGAAATCACGTTGCGGATGATTGAAGCGTGGGTGACTTTTGGTGGGGTGGGGTGGGTGGTGGGTGGGGGGGGGGTCGGTTGGCGGGTGGGTGGAGGGGGGAACTTGGAGGAGCGATGGTAACGAGAGGATTGCGGGGCAGAGGGAGGGGCTAAACCAATGATGTGTGAACATGAGGAGCTTCGTGGGAGCTGCTTGGGGCCTCTTAAATCTTTGTGGGGGCGCCCGGGGATCCTCTTGGAAGCCTTCAAAAGGACTCTCGGGGGCCTCTGGGGGCCTCTCTGGGGCGTCGCGGGAACCCTTGGGAAGATCTTGCAATCGTCTTGGGGTGGAGGGCAGGGGAAGCCCCTGCGCTACCCCCCGTTTGAACATTTTTTTGGGTTCGTCTTGGGGGGCTCCTGGGCCGTCTTTCGGTCTTATTGAGCCGCCTCGGTGCGGTTTTGGATTCCCCTTGGGCCGTTTGGGGCGTTGTAGCTGGAGACAGCGAAGATACCGAGGGCCCCGGCGGGCCCTCTCAAAAAGGTGCTCCTGTGGCTTTCTACAGGCGTCTTGGGGCCCTCGTGATCCGTCATGGAACAATATTCGGCCATGTATGGCTCTATGAAGCTGTCGGTGCCCTGGCGGGGGGCACTGGATCATCAGACAACTTTTGGATGATTTGGGCGGACCAGCCCAGATGGGAATTTACCCAAGGGAAGGGATACACACAAACACGTGCACACGCACATGTACATCCACATATGACTTCACACACACACGCATTTATACGTGTACATATAGATGCCTGCACACACTTAACATGTAAGTGTGTACGTATGTAACGGAAGGGAGGGACATACAGAGAGAGAGAGAGGGACACATAGACAGAGAGAGAGAGAGAGAGCGATATGCATACAGTCATATCAGCTTGATGTATACCAGTACAGGCGTATGCATATACATACATGCGCTCAACACGGTTGATTGCATCTATGTATAAATACGGGGTATTTGGATACGCGTTAATTTCTTAATATGTGCAAAGAAGGTATGTGTCGCAAGCACAGGGCAAACACACGACTTGCATCGGGCGGGTAGCGACGAACATGATTATATATGTCATATACAATTGTGCGTGCAAATCTACATGTTAATTACACATAATATCTAGACAGAAAGAAAGAAATATATATAGAGAGAGAGAGAGAACAAAAAAGGAGAGAGACAGAAAGAGAAAGAGAGAGAGAGAGAGAGAGAACGAGAGAGAGAGAGGGAGAGAGAAAGAGAGAGAGAGAGAGAGAGACAGAGAGAAATAGAGATAGAGAGAGAGAGAGAGAAAAACAGAATAAGGAATGCAAACCACGAGTGCTTGACACAACGTGGTGGCGGACCGTCATCCGTGTGCTCTTGCGAACCACCACCATGCCGCATGTACCTGTGTCGTACGAGTCACTGCCCAAGGGTCTTTCCGACCGTCTCACGTGTATTTCCGCCACCTTCTGACGACCTTCCGCGAACTTCTGGCGGCGGACCCGCCACCATCTTACTTCCGCCAACTTCCGTCGGCCTTCCGCTTGCCTCCGCCGAGGGCGATGATGTGCCGAGTGCGAGGCCTTATCTGGAACGCAGCCAGGAGGGGGCACAATGGCAAACAAACGCTGGGTGGAACCTCTGAAAATTGGTCGCGAAGTCCCGCAGGACGTTGTACCGCTCCGCGTGCCTCCCTCCATAATATCTGTGAGAACCTTTCCTTCGGGAGCGCACGCGATGCTGACCGCCATGCAGCAACTAACGGGTTCTCTCATCCTCTCCCTCCTCCTCCTCCCTCACCCTCCCTCCTCGCCTCCTCTTCCTCCTCCTCCTCCTCCTCCCTCACAGGGTAACCTCTGGTTCGTGTCGACCTCTAGGGCCTCAAAAGGGCAAGGGTGCGGACAAAACGCAAAGGAGACCGGGACACACGCAAGAAGGGGGCGCCATCAAAGATGGGGGAAGCCTGCGCCATGCCCAGCGTCTTTCCGGGGGCGCCGATAGGGAAGAATAGCTCAGAGGGGGGGGCAATCCATGTATCCAAAGGCGCCGATGGTCCATATCTTCGGCGAGGCTCCACGGAAATCACATGTAATGTCCGCCCCAATTTTCGCCTCCGATCTTTCCACGCTGCCGCTCGACTCCCCACGGTGTGGGAGCCTGAGAACCTGTCCGGCGACCGTGGCTACGACTACTGGGCTGCTGCTGATGACGCCGTGCCCGCACGCGGCAGGAGAGCACAAGAAGACACTGGCGCCTCCGGCTGGACTGCCGAATCTGATTCCACGTGCCTGGCACAGAACACCTTGGGCGTGGCTTAATGGGGGGGTCACAAATAGGGGGGTCGGAAAAGGTCCCCTTTCGTGCCCCTTTCGGGCCCCTCCAGAGCCCCAGGGGGCTCGTTTAGGTACCGTTTGGGTACCTTTTCGGACCACGCTCGCCACCCCCCGATTTATGACCCCCCCATTACGTGGCGCCCAAACACCGCCAACCGTCCAATCTCCGGACTTCCGGCGGTGCCTTCCCGCCCCGAAGCGGCAAGTAGCTACGGCCTCCACGCTCTGGCGCGCACTCCCCCGGCGGCGTGCTTTCGCCCTCGCGCAGGCGCGGCACACTGGCGCAGGAACGCAGCCTCCGAGTGTGCGTGCTACCGTCGGGGACGTCTGTTTAGCGTGTCGCGGTGTCCTTGGCGCCACGTGATGCCCAGCGAGCGGAACGCATGTCGCTCTGCTCCGCGGGGCGGGTGGCTGGGAGAGACTCGGGACGTTGACGCTTGGGACGCGGCTACCGTGCCGAGCTGAGGCGTGGTGGGCCAGAACCGGCGAGGCGACACGCTAAACCAAAGTTCCTGACCGTATTCTCTTCCCGCATCCATGCTGCACGTCTTAGCGCTGAGGCTGACCTGCCCGCAAGGCCCTTTCACTCAGGGAAGCACCCAGCCCGCCCAAGACGCTTGGCAGCACTCGCGGGGGGGAGGAGGTCTCACTCGGGTGCCTGTGCGATGCCGCTCCAGGGGCGCCAGCAACGGCGAAAGCCTTGCATCTGGCAAGCGCCTGGGGGGGTGCGAGGTCCCTTTGTAGCTGCTCTCGTGGCCGCGCTCCGTTGGACCCGCCAAGGGGGGCCCAGAAGGCGGAGGCACCTGTACACCCTGCGAAATGCTTAAGAAATCATGGGTTCAGAAATTCAGAGTCTCAGAACTGGAATAAAACCCAACATTTCTATTAAAATCTTCGGATTTACATTGAAACATTAAGAATCATCGAGACTCTGGCCGAAAATTTAAGTTTTCTTAAGCATCGCCTAAGGTGTACGCCAGGCAACACGCAAGGGAGGCTTGCCTTCGAGTTTTGGGCGGCGTCGCTGCGCGGAAATGCCAGGCGGGGCGCAGGAGGTGGCGGCAGTTGAACGTTTCGGCAGCACCCAAGAGAGGTCAACAAGAGCAATGGGGTCGCAGGTGTAGTGACAGGCGCGAGGAGGAGGGAGGTGAGGGGGGAGAAGGAGGCAAGAAAGAGTAGGGGAAATATGAGCGAGAGGAGGAGCACCAACCGCTTTATTGAAAACGAGTGCCCAAACAACGGACGATCCGAAATAGTAGGGAACCATCGAGAGGATAGCTGACAGAACGGGAAGCGGAATCCCACACATGTGGGGTTGCAAGAACATCTTCTGGCAACCCATGGCAAATTTGTCTAACGCCGACAGCTATTCCCTCCAGCGGGTGAGCGAGAGCGCGACAGCTCGCATCTCCGGCGACCTTAGGAGGAGCGATGTCGACGGCAACCATCTCGTCCAGTGGCACGGTCTCGGGAACGTCAGCCTCAAGCGCGACGCCCCGCGCTGTGGAGTGCAGCAGCAGCCGCGAGGGAGTGGCCTCGGGCCCCATCAGAGTCCCAGCCACCACTGGCTGGCGGGGCCCCGCCAGCCTGGACGGGCCCATCGTCCAGCTCAAGAACGGGACAGGGGGCTCTTCCTCTCCCAGCTAGGTGGACGTTGGCCATGGTTGGAGCAATTCCGAAGAAGCCACCGCCCAAGGTGGCGTCCGGATGCCATCACCCGCCGGAGGCCGTCAGGTACTACGGCAACTGGCACGGGAGCGGGAGCCAGTGCAGCCTGTGCGGCGAGAGGCTGGTCTGGGTGCCTCGTCGGGACCAGGCTGGGGACAAGAACAACGAGCCGCCGCGGTCAGCAGCGGAGGCAGCTCGTGCAGCAGCGTCGTCAGCCCAGAAGGCGGTCGACATTCTTCAGAACGACCCGTCCTTCCGGGCGGGAGGAGCCGCCCTGACCACCATCAACAGTCTAGCGGCCCTGCTCCAGGGATTGCAGTGGCAGCCTCAGGGGATGCCAGAAGGGCTGAGGGCGCTGGGGAATATGCAGTCGGTGCTCGACCGCATACACGAGGTGATCAACACACATCAGTTCGCGCCAACCCTGATCGAGGAGGGGCTTCCGCAGATATACCTGTCTGTGGTGCAGATCAAGCGTACCTATCGGGAGCTTCGAAGAGTTTGGCGAGGTGGTCGACCAGTTGCAGACGACAGTGTCCACCACGGCCACCACGCGGAGCCACGTCGAGGCCTCCACCGGGCAGTTGGCGACGAGGATGGCCCAGATCGGGTCCGCAGTGGCAGCGATGTGCGATGCAGCGGCGGGCGACCCCTGGACTCACCAGGCGCCAGCGGAGAGCGGGGGCGCGTCGTCCTCGGGCGGGGGTGCTCCACCGCCGAGGAGGAGGAGGAGGAGGAGGAGGAGGAGGAGGAGGAGGAGAAGGAGGAGGAGGAGGAGGAGGAGGAGGAGGAGGAGGAGGAGGAGGAGTGGACTCACCGGGCGCCAGCGGAGAGCGGGGGCGCCTCGTTCTCGGGCGGGGGTGCTCCACCGCCGGAGGGCCCCAGGAAACCCAAGGGGAGAATGTGGCCGACGACGGGCGGGGACGAGCCAGAGACGCGACGTGCCACCTGCAGCCGGACCCAAGAGCAGGATCCCGAACCCACTGAGGAGGAGAAGCGTCTGGTTTTCAAACTCCACGTCAACATGGGACACCCTGACAACAGGAAGTTTGTCCGCGTGCTCAGAGCCGGCGGGACAAAGCAGCGCGTGCTCTGGTGGGTCCGAGACAAATTTCAGTGCTCTGAGTGTGCTGAGCGAGCCATGTCAGGATCTCACCGACGGGTGGCGCTCCCCAGGACGTTCAGATTCAACCACATCGTGGGCGTGGATTTATTCTACCTCGAGTTCCAGGGGACCACTCATCCTTTTCTCAACCTCGTGGATCACGGCTCTAATCTCCAGGTTGTATCCAAGCTTCCCAATGCCCAGGTCTCTTCCGTGTGGTCGGAATTTGTCAGGTGCTGGCTGCGTCCTCTCGGTGCTCCTCACTTCCTGATTTCTTACGGGGGTTCTGAGTCTGGAGCCAAGTTTGCCAGAGAACTGGAACAATGGGGTGTCTGTCATCACGTGTGTGACGCAGACTCGCCGTGGCAAAACGGCCGGGTCGAGCGTCATGGGGGCTGGGTGGAAGATCGTGTGAAATCAGAGCTCGAAGTCGGCTCATGCCTTCAGCCACCCTCTCTGAGCTGGACGATCTCATATGTGAGCTCGTCGCTCACCAGAGCCGTTTCTGGCATCGAGGGGGCTTCTCCCCACTCCAGCTCGTGCTTGGTGAGAACCCCCGTCTCCCCCATGACCTCCTCTCGGATGACCACCGTGATCTCCCAGGCTGGCAGGACACTCTCCGGCCCTCCGCGGAGCAGGACGCCGCGGGTGCCGAGCTCGCCCGAGCCCACGCGGCGCGGGCCACCGCTCGTCGTCTGGCCCTCGAGGTCTCTTGCCGGGACAAGACTTCCGGGGCCTCTCGAGCCAGGCCTCCGGACACTGAGCGTTTCACTCCAGGGCAGTGGGTGTTCGTTTGGCGTCACCTCTCTCGGACTTCCTCCCGAGCTGATGCCCTCGGCCGTCGTCGAGACGGCTGGACGGGACCTGATGTCGTGGTGCTGTGTGAGGGGTCCACCGTGTGGTTGCCGTGCGTGCTCGCTTGAGGAAGTGCTCTGCGGAGCTGGTGCGTCTTGCCATTCCCGAAGAAGAGTGCGGCCTCGAGCTGGCGCAAGACCCCCGCTGGCAGGACCTGCTCCAGACCGCCCGGGCCCGGAGAGTCACTGCCGTGGACGTCCAGAGAGAGGGGTCCCCACCCGACGAAGCGTGGGATGAGCCAAGGCATCCCGACCTCGACTCTGGTCCACGGATTCCCAGCCACGCCCGGTCTCCTACCGCGGGCGATCCTGACCCTCAAGACTCTCGTCCGACCTCTCCTCCCTCCCCCGGCTCTTCCTCTCCTGGCCCCGCTCTTCCTCGCCTGCTCGGCACCACCCGACCGCCCGTGTCCGAGGCCGGATCCGCCGCCGCCCAGGCAGGCTCCGAGCGGACTCGGCTCCCCTCCATCTCCGAGGAGGGAGAGCCCAGTACTGAGCGGGGACCCCCTTCCAGCACTGAGCGGGGACCCCCTTCTGCTCCTCCTCCTCCTCCCTCGCCTCCGGGAGAGCTCGGAGAGCCGACGGCTCCCGTGGCCGACGAGGTTCTCCCTCCTCTCCCCCCTTGGCCTCCTCCGCCCTCCGCCGCCAGGGCTCCCCACGCCGGGGAGGAACGCCCGAGGGCCCGGAGGCTGCCAGCAGCCCCCGGGTGTGCCCCTCTGCACCCAGGGCCGAGTGGCCAGCTCTGTAAGAACGGTTTTTTGAAGGCAGATGTGCCTTCAAAAAACCGTTCTTGCAGAGTGGACCAGTCTTTCCTCCTTGCAGGAAGGATTGCGAAAAAAACGAAGGATTGCGAAAAAAACCCTTCTTACATCCTCCTCGCAGGAAGAGGAAGGATTGGAAAAAAACGGAGGAAAAAACGAAGGGTTTTTTTCGCAATCCTTCGCAATCCTTCGTTCGAGTGCGAAGGCAGATCTGCCTTCAAAAAACCGTTCTTGCAGTGTGCCCCTCTGCATCCAGGGCCGAGCGGCCAGGGCCGCCAGCAGCCCTCCCGAGGTGGAGAGGATGGGGGTTCGAGGAGCCCGGGGTTTCTCGTCCTCTGGGGAGGCTCCTCCCGCTCCCTCTCCTTCCCCGACGTCTCCTCCTCCTCCCACCGTCCCTTCAGGCGACTCGGCCCCCGAGGCGGGTGTCGAGTCGAGAGAGCGCGGCATCGCCACCAGGACGGAGGCCCGACGCTCCGTCTCGGAGCGGGCGGGAGCCATCGAGGGGCGTCGTCGGAGGAGTCGTTCTCCCCTCTGGTCTGGTGTGGTGGGGGAGAGGAGTGAGGACTTCTGGGTGGTTCCGCTTCCTGGCCAGGGCGTCCAGGTCTCTCCTATCATGGGGTTGCTGGTCGAAGAAAGCCAAGACGAGATTTGGGTCTTGGTCGCGAGCAGGGGCGGGGCGGTAACTTCGAGGCGGCTCACGCCCGCCGAGAGAGCGAAGTTCGAGATCGCCGATCGCAGTGAGTGGGAGGCCATGAAGGCCACAGGAGCTGTGGAGATCGTTCCGCCAGGCCCGGCCAGGGAGATCCGTAGGCTGCAGCCCGACAGGATCGTGTCGAGTAGGATGGTTCGCAAGTGGAAGCCGACGGAAGGAACGTTTGCGGAGCCGGTGGCAAAGCGTGCCCCAGACTCAGGAACCCTCGAGGTTTACGCCCCCGCCCCACAGACATCCTCCATAATGATGTTCATCCAAGTGATGATGAACAAAGGCTTTCTCGGAGACATCGCGGATGTGAAGTACGCATTCTGCCAATCGGACAAGATGCGTCGCACCCAAAAGGAGGCTTAGGTAGAACCGTGCGAAAGCATCAACCTGGAGCCCGGGTCACTCATCCGCCTTCTTGTGAGCGTGTACGGATTAGATGACGCAGCCAGGGCCTGGAGGCGCACTGTCGTCAAGCATCTGGAGCAGCACGGTTTCTCCCGAAGTCTGCTTGAGCCGTGCAGGTGGATACTCCAGATTTCACAATAAAAGGGGGTGGTCTGATTTCGGATGGGGTCAGATTTGAGCTGTCTTGGAGGGTTCCAGTGGGTTTGGGCAAAAAGCCGCCCTTCATGGCTTGTTTGGGGGGGTCTGGAATTGCCCGTCAGTGAGGGTTGTGACCCCCTCCCTTTTATGGCGAAATCTGGAGTACGCTACTACGAAGGTCGGATTTCCAACATGATGCTCCTAGACGTAGATGACCTCATGATCGCCAGTGACGGCCCTAGCTCTGGAGCGTGGCTCCGGAAAGTGCTGGAGAGTCGATTCTGGCTCGGGAAGTACCGCGACTGTCACGCTGGACCAGTCGAGTTTGCAGGCCGTCGGATCATCATGACTGCCCAGAAGACAATCATCGACCAGGAGAAAGATATTCTAGAAGAGATTAAGCCACTCTCCATGGCACGAGGACGTCTCGCACGAAAGGACGCTCCCCTGGAAGAATCAGAATTTTGAGCACTGCGTTCCCTGGCTTACAGGTTTAACTGGGTCGGGAGGGAGTCGCGCCCAGAAGCCGCGGGCGTGGCAAGCATCCTGGCCAGTCAGCTTCGGGCCCCGACCACCGGAGACGCCACGAATGCCAACAAGCTTGTGAGGCATCTTCGGGCTACGACGTCACGCGGATCGACTATCTGGCGCCGGGATCCCGAGGAGATGTCCCTCGTGTCCTTCTCAGCTGCGGGAGGGTCAGGATCCGCGGATGGCCTGGACGATGATCGGGGACTGCCCGTGGACCCCCCACCCAGGGAGCCTGGATGGTGCTGGCTGCAGTCTGGAGGGGCCCCAGGACACACAAATAAATACACACAAATAAAACAATTCTCAATATTTTCCAATATTTTCTGGGTTTCTGTCTTCCCCCCTCACTTCCCATATTTTCCTATATTTTCTGGGGAATCGAGGATTAATTGCGTCTGTGTGTCTGTGTGATTCAGAACTGGGCAATGAGAGCATCGATTCTCGGCTGGAGCAGCTGCAAGCTCAGACGCAAGGTGCCGTCCACTGTGGCTGGTGAAGCGCAGGCACTGTCGGCAGCCATTGCCGAGGTGGAATATCTCCGAGTGCTGTACCGTGATGTTGTGTGTTCCAGATGTTGACCTTCCAAATTGCGTCCGGGCCTCCAGTCCCTGTCTCACGGTTCTCAGGAGAGGCTGTCCCCTGGGCTCCCGAGAAAGTCCCTGTCTCACGGTTCTCAGGGGGGGCTGTCCCCTGGGCTCCCGAGAACGCCAAATACATGTCGTCGATGCAAAATCCATCTACGACACCATGAAAAAGGAGGGAAACGCAAGCGCCCGGGACCGACGTACAGCACTGGATTTGGCCATCGTTTGCGAATCCCTGGAGCGAGCTAGAGGACATGTCAGATGGATTCCTCATGGACGCATGCCGGTCGACTGTCTTACCAAAGGCAATCTCACCAAGGGGAATGCCACACTCTTTGATCTGATGATCAACGGCCGTATTGTTCTAGTCGACGAGAGCTCGGAAGTAGAGAAGAGACGCGCTACCCCAGACCTCAAGTGTAGGTCCAAGGCCGCCTCCCGCCACGTGCTGTCCAGGAGCCAGCAGCTGATCACATGGAACGACTTCCAGGACTCGAAGGGCTGGTCGGTGGTTGGTGGGGCTTCGGTCGGTTCTCCCTCCTCTACCCCTTTCACCTCCTCTGTCCCTGTCGTCAGCTCCACCTTGTCTCACCACTATCAGTAATCTCCCAGTTGCCTGTACTGTTCCTTTTGCCTGTCTGTACTTGTTTTGTCTAGTTCAATCTTAGACAACACAGCAAGAGTACCGTGATTTAGACCTGTCAGATGTGAAGGGGACACTGGCAGCAACAGGGCTGCTAAACCTAGGAGAAATCTTGACCTGTGTAGCAGGGCTTCTGTATTTCGAAGATAGGTTTAACATTCAGTATCCGAGCGAGTTGACCATGCTCGGTGACAGTTGTGGCTCAAGAGTAAAACACTTGTCTCTCCTGCTGCTGCCGCAAATCGGCAATGCATCGCCGATGGGTTGGCGATAGGGCACGGCTGCATCCGTACGTTCATGTGCCGGGTGGGACTATCAGACCCCCATCGGCGATCAATGGGCGATTGGGGGTCGATGCGTGTCCCCCTGAGCCTATCCACCCCTGTCGTTGCCCCTGGTTCTCCCTCGCTCTCCCTCCCGCCTGTGGTTGAAGAAGCCCCAGGACGGCGGCTGCAGCTTCCCGTCCGCGATCATCCTGAGCTCCGTCTCATTCGCGATCGCGATGCGCAGCGTGGCCCTCGGGGTCCTGTGGCCAGGAGCTCCAGGGCGGCAAAGCGGAAGGAGAAGGAGGGGGCGTCCCTGCTCCTTCCTCCACCTCCTCCTCCTCCTCCTCTCCTCATTCCGCCCTCCTCCTGCCTCCTCCTCCTCCTCCTCCTCCTCATTCCGCCTTCTTCCTAGCTCATTCTCCTCCTCATCCCGCCTTCCTCCTCTCTCCTCCTCCTCCTCCTCCTCCTCCTCCTCCTACTTCTCATCCTCCGCCTCCTCTTCCTCCTCCTCCTCCTCCTCCTCCTCCTCCTCCTCATGGTCATCATCCTCTTCATACTCCTCCTCCTCCTCCTCCTCCTTCTTCCCTCGTCCTTGCAAATAACTCCTCCCTGGCGCGCCCTCAGACGTGTCGGTAGGGCGGGCCGGGCGTTTCGCCTGAGACTTCCTCGCCATGTATGATCCTGAAGCTTGGAATGTGCAAACATTTCACGGATGGAGGGCGGGCTGTTTGCAAAATGTGGCTCTCACCTAAGCGCCGCGTGCGTTGATTTTGAATATTTCAACAGCTTCGCGGATGGAGGGCGGGCCATTTTCAAAAGGCGGCTCTCGCCTTAGCGCCACGCAAATTCGTTTTAACAGTTTGCAGCAATTTCGCGGATAGAGGGCGAGTCGTTTTCAAACTGCGGTTCTCGCCTTAGCGCCGCGCGCGTTCGTCTTCACACACTTGAAGCAGTTTCAGGGATGAAGGGCGGTTCTTTTTCAAAATTTGGCTCGCGCCTTAGCGCCGCGCTCATTCGTTTTTGAAAAATTGCAACAATTTCCGAGATTCGCATGGTCGAAGTGCCGGTAAAGGTGTTCTGGTGTTCTAGCAGTATTTAAGATGGTCGCAACGCAACAATCATGTTGATTCTCGATGTTGAAGTCCCGGGAATGGTGTTCTGGCAAGGTTCAGGATTGCCAAGACGCAACAGTCAGGTTGACTCGCGATGTAGAAGTCCCTAGACTGGTGTTTTGTCACGACTGATGATTCTCAGACGTCTGTTTTCCAATTTGGCATTTCCCGGAATGGAGCTAGTTTCTTGTAGGGCCCTGTGACGAGGGAGCTTGGAGGGAGGGTTTATTGCAACATCGCTGATGCGTCTTAGCTTGACACTGGTCCTCCTCTTCCTCCTCCTCCTCCTCCTCCTCCTCCTCCTCGTCCCCCCCTTCTCCTCCTCCTCCTCCTCCTCTTCCTCCTCCTCCTCCTCCTCTTCCTCCTCCTCCTCTTCCTCCTCCTCCTTCTCCTCCTCCTCCTCCTCCTCCTCCCTCTTGTGGCTCCAAGCAAAGCAGTACCAGACTCCATCCTGGGAGCGGCAGATTGCCTCCTCGTTCCCTTTCCCTGTAATCATCCCTCCTCCATCCTCCCTCCTAATTACTGCGGAGCTGGGTCGTCTTGCCCGTCCCCCCCCCGGCTCGATTGTCTCGACGTGGTCGGGGATCGCGGGGGAGGGGGCGGAGCAGGAGGCTGGTGGGGGGACAACAGGGTGCCGATGTGGCAGCTCCCCAGACCTCTCCAGGGGTGCGCTCTAACCAGAACCTCGAGGGAATCCTGCCGTGGCGACGCGGGAAGGGCAGCGGCATCGGCACCGTTCTTCTCACCTGAGCCGGCGGCCCAGCCCCAGCTGCCCCGAAGCCACCCTGCAAGCCAGCTCGGCCCTCGACAAGCCACGAGCCGACGACAATCTCAGGGACGCGCCCTCGGAAACGGAGGTGAGCCTTCAGATCTGCATCGAGGTCGGGTGATGCCCATCACAGGGACAGAGATATGTTTCGGGCTGGCAACCTCCTGCTTCTCCCACCCCAATGTCGGGAGCGGCCAAGAGGGGGGTGTCCAAGAGGGGGGGGTGCAAATCATGACCGGCGGCATGTGGGCGGCCCAGCGGGGGGGCCAGGGACGTAATGGAACAAGAAGAGGCGCCATAAAATCTGGGGAGATATCATGGCCCCCGCCATGATATCCAACCCCCCCTAGTCATCCCCCCCACTTTGCCACCCCCGACAATGGCGGGCCGTGCTTCTGGCTGGCCTGGCGCCCTGCGCAGCGGCCCCGTGCAGTCCCTCCGTGCACCACCGACCCCTCGGGAGCGGCCGGGGCCTGGCGCCCTGCCTGCCGCCCCCGAGCCTCCGACGCCGTCGTGTGCCTCACCTCTTTGCTGGCAGCGTTGGCCCGAGGAGGAGGAGGAGGAGGAGGAGGAGGAGGAGGAGGAGGAGGAGGAGGAGGAGGAGGAGGCGGAGGAGGAGGAGGAGGAGGAGGAGGCGGAGGCGGAGGAGGCGGAGGAGGCGGACAAACATCTGGACCACTTCCCGGGGGCCGGCCGGCTTCTCGTCCCCAGCTGTTCTTGTTGGCGGCCCCGGGGCCGGTCAGAGGGCCCTGGAAGCCGACGATTGGGAGAAAGACCGGCCGTCGTGATTCAGTCACGCAGCGAGGTCTTTTAGGCACCTGGCATCGGCCGCCCTAGGGGGGGAAGTGCGGCGTCGGCTGGGGCCTCTGAGCAGCGCCACCATGCAAGGAACGCGAGGGCGGTTGCGGACAGAAACAATATTTGCTTTATGCGATTTCTGCGAAAGCGATCAGTGATTTCCCACATGTTCTGGAACGATTTTCGCGTTCTCGCCGTTTCGGGCTCCCGCCAGCTGGAGACGGCCCAAGCACCATCCAAGATGGCCCCAGGCCCCCAAGATCGGGGGCCTCGAAGAGGGGACGTAGGGAAAGAGGAGGAGGGGGGCCACGAGATCCAGGGAGATGTCACGACCCCAGCCATGAGATCCCCCCCCCCCCCCGAGGCCATCCCCCCCCCCCCCCTGGGCGGCCGCCCCCGACGGGAGGGTCCCAGGACGGCCCGAGAGGGCCTCGTGGTGGCCCGCCCCCCCCCCCGCCCCCCCCGAGCGCCTCCGCCGCTCCTGCTGCTGCGCCGCTGCCTGCGCCGAGCCTGGCCCGCGCCCCGCCTCGGAGGCGCCCCCTCGGGCGGGCGCCCGGGGGCTGGCTCCCGGGCAGCTCGCGTGCTCTTTTTGTTGCTGCCGTGGGGCCCCGCGGTGGCCGCGGGGCACGAGGCGAAGACCTCTGGGGGGGGGTTTGGGTGGGCGGGGGACTTCCAGGTCCACCGCGCAGCCTCTTCGGCGGCGAGCTGGGAGGGGAGGGGGCAGGAGCAGCGGGGGGGGGGACGGGGCAGGACGGAGGAGGGACTCGGGACGCAGCACAGACCGAGGAAACCTCCGAGCACGTGACCAAGCCTGCGTGAGGCGGGGCACACCACCAAGAGGGACGTGCAGGCAGGCGACATTGGGCGGCAGGGGGGCATGTCGAACGATGCCAGGCCCCGACGCGAGGAGTGGGGGGAAGGTGGTGGGTGCGTACGCCAGACGGATTCGCCATCGAGCCTGTACGGGTTCACGGTCAAGTTTTTGACCTACTGGTCACTGCTTCCACAGCCGAGGCCATCGCCCTCGACGAGGCATCGAGGGAGGCGGCCAAGCCTCTGAGCGAACCCAAGTGCACCCAGCGCCCTCAGCTCGAGCTGCTCTGAGCAGCACCAGAGCGAGAGAGAGAGAGAGAGAGAGTGAGAGGGGGGGAGAGACAAGTTAGGTGCGCTCGCGTCAACATCTGACATCCTACCCCTCCCTCCCATCCCTTAGCATGGCGCTGATTTTCTCTATCCGCGGACGCGTGTCGTAGCGGACCTGTGGCTCCGCGCGCGTGTGCGTAGTGGGTGGTGGTGCGCGTGCGTGCGTGCGTGCGTGCGTGTGTGTGTGTGTGTGTGTGTGTGGCTGTGGTTGTTGTGGTGATGGTGTGTGTATGTATGTGTGTGTGTGTGTGTGCGTGTGCGCGTGTGCTGTGGTGTGACGTGGTGTGGCGTCTTGGTGGTTTGGTGGTGGGCCAGGTGCGTACGTGCGTGATGGCGGTGGTGGTGGTGGCGGTGGTGGTGTGTGTGTGTGTGTGTGTCTGTGTGTGTGTGTGTGTGTGTGTGTGTGTGTGTGTGTGTGTGTGTGTGTGTGTGTGTGTGTGTGTGTGTGTGTGCGTGGTGTGCGTGTGCGTGCGTGCGTGCGTGCGTGCGTGCGTGCGTGTGCTGTGTGTGCGCGCGTGTGATGTGGTGTGACGCGGTGTAGCGTGGTGGTGGTGGTGGGTGGGGTAGTGCGGTGGTGGTGGCGGTGCGCGGTGGTGGTGCGCGTGCGCGTGCGTGCGTTGGTGGGTGGAATTGGCGGTGGGTGTGCGTGCGGCGGGGTGGGGCGTGGTGCGGCGCGGTGGTGGCGGGCGGATGGGCGCGCGAGAAAGAGGCCCGCGCTGGGGCGAGAACGCCATCCTGAACGACGGAGGCAAAACACCGATCCGACAATGAGGCCCACGCTGCAGCGGGAGCACGATTCGGAACGATTCGGGAGCAGAAATGAGGCCGGCGCCTCAGCGAGAGCAGCATTTTGGAAAAAAAACGCAGGCGAAAACCCAACTCCGGGGAATCGTGTGTGTAAAAAAACAGTACGCGGGGGGGGGGGGCGAATACGCAAAAGACGTCATCAGGGGAAGAGGGAGAGTAGTATTCATATTGAGTAATTGTAAGCGAACACAAACAGGGGGAGATAATGGCGAAGGGGCGTGTGTGAGGGGGACATTGAGATGCCCACACCTCTGCTCCACTAACTTCTCCTGGGGTGCGTTCTGACCAGCATCTCGGGGCGAATCTGGCCGTGGCGGCGAAGGGGGGAGGTAATTACAGTAGGCACGTATAATACGTCCCAAGGTGCCTCAGAGCTTATGTGGGTCCCTGATGCCGTCGGGAGCTACTGCATTCCTCCGTGGTGCACCTACTGGCAAACCCATTTCTTCTTTGAAGCGCCTAGCCGTGGCGGTATCGATACCCCTTCCTCCCCTGAGGACCGTGGAGTCCTCGACTTGTCGGTCACGGTGCAGGTGTCCAAGCCGCCCCGGAGGTGCGAGGAGCGGAGGCGACGATAGGGGTGGATGGCCCAAAGGCAGGCATTACACACACACACTCGCCGTGAGACCTCGCTAGAAGACATCTGGATACTGCTCCCCCTGCGCCATTCGCCCCCATCCGCCCCACGCCCCTGCCCACGAGTATCGAAAGCTCGCGGAGGAGCAACGAGTGTGATGATGATGACGATGATGACGACGACGATGATGATGATGATGCTGCTGATGCTGATGATGATGCTTATGCTGATGATGAGGAAGATGATGCTGCTGATGATGATGATGCTGCTGCTGATGCTGCTGATGCTGATGATGATGCTGATGAGGAGGAGGACGGATGGAACAACCCCGAGGGGAAAGTTCTCGCAAGAAACAAAAAACTGCAGGGTGCGGCGGCCATCAGGACCTTATTACTGGTCCCAAGCGGGCGGCGTCATTCCTCCTGAGCACCACGACAGGCCACCACACCCTGTATAAAACCGTCAGGACTTTCGATCCCCTTCCTCGTGAGGAAGAGGCGGAGGAGGAGGCGGAGGAGGAGGAGGAGGAGGAGGAGGAGGAGGAGGAAGAGGCGGAGGAAGAGGAGGAGGAGGAGGAGGGGGAGGGGGAGGAGGAGGAGGAGCAGGAGGAAGAGGCGGAGGAGGAGGAAGACGAGGATCCTCGACATGTCGGTGAAGGTGCAAGTGTCCGAGCCGCCGTTGAAGTGCGAGGAGCAGCGCCCCCTCTTCGTCGGCTGCTGCCCGGCGGGCTCCTCGGGCGCGCCGCGCGCCGCGCGCGCTGCGCGGCAAGGGTGCGCCGCCCGCGGAGCCTCGCCGCGCCTGGCCCTTGCTGCGCCGGGCGCTCGCGCCGCTGCCGCAGGCCCCCTTGCCCAGCACTGGGCACTCCTAGATCTCGGGCGGTCTGACCTCCGCCACCGTGCCTCGAGGCACGAGGTGGAGTGTTCCCCAGGATTCCAGACCTCTCTATATACATACTCTGGCTCAGCGCTGAAATGCTAGGAGTTCGGGGCATGGAGCGCAGATGCCAAACTCCTCTTGACGGTCCCGCGCCCTCCCGAGCTTCCCCGCATGACTGTTTGATAAGCCCGTGGGCCCTTGTGATGGGCCAAGGGGGCCCCCAAGAGGCACCCGACATGGTCCAAGATGGTCCCGAGTCGCCCACACATCGCTCCAAAGGGCCCAGTGTGGCCCACAGACATCCCAAAAGGCCCCCAAGACGCCCCCATGAGGGCCCCGAGATACACCCGAAATGCCCCCGAGACCGCCAGCAGGGCCCTCAGAGGCCCCCCGAAACTCCAGGAGGCCCCTAACAGCTTCAAATCTGGCCCCACTAGGCGATCAAAAAACAAAGAAGAGCCTCCAAGACATCCCATAACCGAATCCAAGAGGTCCTCGTTTTGAAGAGACAGCGCCCCGCGTTACTCCTTTTCCTCGTCGCCCCCTCCCTCCTCCCATCCCTGCATCGTTTCTGTTTCGGCACACCCCTCACACGCTTCGTGGCCCCATAGGGAGCTCAACCGAAGGTCCCAGTCAGTTCGCATGCGGGCGTCACGCCCGTTTCGGCACACCCTTCACACGTTTTGTGGTCCCGTAGGGAGCTCCACCGAAAATCCAAATGGCGCAGTTCGCATGTGGGCGTCACGCCCGTGTCGGCACACCCCTCACACGTTTCGGGGCCTCATAGGGAGCTCCACCGAAGGTCCCAGTGGGGCAGTTCGCATGTGGGCGTCAAGCCCGTTTCGGCACACCCCTCACACGTTTCGGGGCCCCATCGGGAGCTCCACCGAAGGTCCCAATGGCGCAGTTCGCATGTGGGCGTCAAGCTCGATTCGGCACATCCCTCACACGCTTCGTGGCCCCGCTCCACCGAGGGTGCCGCGCTGGATCCAATCGCTGCAGATGCCGACTTCCCAGCCGAATTTCTTGGCGGATCCTGCCGTGGCGACCCCCCGCGCGCTCAACCAGACGGACGCGCCGAAGACGAACTCTTTGCGCTTGCCTTTCGTCTCGTGGCGGGGCTCCCCCCAACACGGGCGAGGGGCGTCCCCCGAAAAGCCTCGACGCCCCCCTCGCGCTGTGCACAAGTCACGGCGGGAGGTTTCTCGCTACTGCTCTCGGCCTCCAGGGGCTCGTCCCGGGCCCTGGGACCATCTCAAAAAACGGCTCGGGATGAAAAAACACGGCGCGCCGAAGACGAACTCGTGGCGTTCTTACCTCTATGGTGGTTCAAAAACTTCGTCCTCGCGTTGCAAGCCGCGCCGATGTCGTTCAAACCGGCCGACCACGGCAGAGCCACGCGCGGCCTCCGAGCACTGAGGGGGGAGGAGGAGGAGGAGGAGGAGGAGGAGGAGGAGGAGGAGGAGGAGGAGGAGGAGGAGGAGGAGGAGGAGGAGGAGGAGGAGGAGCACAGCTCGTAAGACCACCCGTGCTGGAGGAGGAGGAGGAGGAGGAGGAGGAGGAGGAGGAGGAGGAGGAGGAGGAGGAGGAGGAGGAGGAGGAGGAGGAGGAGGAGGAGGAGGAGGAGGAGGAGGAGGGGGAGGGGGAGGAGGAGGAGGAGGAGGAGGAGGAGGAGGAGGAGGAGGAGGAGGAGGACCAGGAGGAGGAGGAGGAGGAGAGGGAGGAGGAGAGGGAAGAGCCGAGGCTGGGCTTCAAGAGAAGACCTCGCGGGCGCGGCGGCCATCCAACATACAGGGCAGTTTTTAAGACATGCGATTTCATAAACATTTTTATATATAATATCTATATATATATATATAGATATATAGATTTCTTTCTTATTTTTATATATATAAAACGTACGGATCGATGTATGCACGAACTCATCGTTGTTTTTAATACTCAATCCGCATTTTAACACATGATCCGCGCGCGGAACATGTATTAAAACCGGCGCTGTACAATGCCTCAAGACGCCGACCACGGTCGTCGTCGACCATTTCTACTTCGCCGAGGTGGGACAAGTCGAAGAAGCAGCCGTCCGCCGCGACCAGCCTGTGCTGAATCAAGGGTCAGACTAACGATATGTCGTCCCTTTCACGGGCAACTGCTTGCGTTGCCTTCTTCCTCGCAGGTGTTGGCTCTTCTCTCGAGATCATCGCGCCTTAATATGCAACGGCGTGCTGATGCAATTTTCGCGCCCAGCGGACCGAAATCGCCGCTGTCGGCGGACTAATCGAACGTATTATTTGCGTCCCCCGCCTCGAGAGGGCACGTGGATGTCTCGTCAGGTCTGCCAGATGCTGAACTTGCAGTCTCTTGCATATCCTGTTTCCATTCTCTGAAGAAGGGAACTCGTAGTAAGACCTCGAAGCGTAACTTCTCTGATGCTGTATAACTATTTTTGCCCGTTCGTAGCTTTGCGACCTCTTCTGCTGCGGGCTGACGGTCTTCAGATGCTGCTCCACAGGCGCCTGGTCCTTGAATCTCAGACAGTGGAGGTCCGTCGGGTAGGTGCCGCTTGGCTTCGTGGGGGCTGGGCCCATGCCTATTGTCCTTATCCCGCGCGGGGCCATGAGTGGTTGGTGGGTCGCATTGTCGCGGCGATAATGGTTCCCATTTTGGGTGCCCTTACGGTGCTTCCGTAATCGGCAATCCTCCGAGCACAAAGGAGCCTGGAGCTCACCAGAAGTCTGCCTCTTTGCGGGTTGTTTGGCAGCAGGCTGTCCCAGTGCGGCTTGCCCTGGTGAGTGCAGCCCTCCTACTGTCGGAGGGTGGGCGCCACCAGCGACTCTCCAATCCGCCAGTTTCATGCGCCGCTGGTCGCGACGAAGCGTCTTTGCCCCTCGCGCCGCGCCCAAGTAGGCTAACGCGTCTGGTGGCTGTGAGGGTTGCCTTGCTACTGCGGCGGGCCGAATCACCGTCTCTTGGTGGTGGCCGTTGGCAGTTCTCGTCGGTCGTTCCAGCTTCATGTTTCTCCAGCCCAACTCGGCGGCAGCCTCGCTGTGGATCTTATCGATGTTCGCAAGATTGAAGGGGCCCCAGGACACACAAACAAATACACACAAATTAAAAGATTCACCATATTTTCCCATAGTTTCTGGGTTTTTGTCTTCCCCCCACTTCCCATATTTTCCCATATTTTCCTGGGAATCGAGAATTAATTGTGTCTGTGTGTTTTTTCCCCTCCTCAAAGAGGGGGGTCGCTGTTGTTTTCAATCTGGGCGCGCAGGTTTGCGCTGGGCAGCTCGTGCCCTTCATCTCTGTCACAGTGAGCCTGAAGGTTGCCCTGCGTATCCAGGAGCAAGGACACTCAAATGTTCACCACGCCGCCACTCGTCAGTGCTGTCCACTCTCTCCTGTGGGCAGGCGATCGACGCTATCATTTCTTACCTGTAGAATGCCATCTCACCTACTTCGCGCTTCGTCTGAGCCCAGCTTGTGGCAGCACATCCACTGGCAGTGTCTTAGTTCATTGTTGGGTTGCTCCACCTGCGTGACACGCTTGCCTAACGTCAATAAGAGCTGCCGGACCCCACCTTGATCAAATCCGATTGGTTGTTGATGTGTGTTATCCCGTGTTCCCTTACTCGTTGGCCTGCGTCTCTGGCTCGAGCGTTTGCCGCTCGTATTTCGCCTCTGGCAACCTGAACGTGTGGGTCAACGCTCCGCTATTATTGCGCTTGTGAGACGCTTGCGACCTCCTCGAATAACGAATGCAATCCGTGATTTTTGGCCTCTGGCTGCTGGCTCCGGTGTTGGACCATATCAGCGGCCGAAATTGACCGTGATTGTGCGGAGGAGGCAGCAGCAAATTGCCCTGCTGCGATTTGCGCCTTCCGCGATCTTTGGTCCACGCCGCCAGGTGGGACCTGTCGCACTAGGTGAAAAGGACCAGGGTTGCTTGGCTCTGCGGTTCGAGCCGCAAAAGCTTCACTCCAACGCTTGCGTGCGGTGGGATAAGGGGCAAACCTCCTTTATTCAGAATCCATTCGGGATCCGGTCGTGCTTGTTCTGGCGGCAACTTGCCCTGCCGCGTGAGCCCTTTCAAGAACTCGGCGGTTTGGCTTGACCCTTGCCTTTGCCGTCAGCACGGTCTACCAGTGCGACATGTCCGTGCCCCTTTGGCTATCTTCGGACAGATTGTTGTGGGTGCTCCGTGTCTTTGGACGCATCGGAGATGATAGCTTCGAGGTTAGTTTCTGGCGTACTCGAGGGTTCAACATTGTGTAGTGCGTAGAGGTAGGTGCTTCGGCTGACAAAATGTACTTCGGATTGCTTCAGCCATGGGGCCATAGCAAGCGCCCTTGAATTGATGGCCCTGGCTCGCCGTTGAAGGCGACCAAGTTCCAGCGTTCAGAGATTGAGTCCAGCCGTGGTGACAGTAGCGACAGGTTGTCCTATCGCACCGACCCTAAAGCTGATGGTTCCTGTTTGGTTTGCGACTGACGACGACGACGACGCAAGAGGGGCAGCGCGCGCGGATCCTTTTTTTTTGTTTTGTTTTTGCCACCGCCTCGCGAGCCATGCAAGCTGCGCAGAGCGAGTCCGCGTCGCTCAATCCTCGGAGTGAAGGACAGGAAGGAGAGGAACGGGGGAGGCCAAGACAAACCAAAGCCCTCCCAATCCAAAGCGGGGATTCCGCTCAAGAGTAAGATGCGGCGACTACGAGGGGTAAAACACACTCCCCCCCATAAAAGATCAATGAATTTTCCAGGTCGTCGGTCTTTCCGTTCCACCCGGCCCTAAGATGGCATCCACAACGGCCAAGATGGTCTCTAAGACGGCTACGATGGATCCAAGCTGTTCCCAA